TAAAAAACAATTTTTTGGAAGTATTAGATATCCAAACTTAATTCATCCTTCATCACCGTTAGGATTTTCAGCAATTTTATTATATACTTTAATTATTACCGTGGCCTTAGTTTGTTTACGATTTAGGCTTTGTCTAACTGGATACCTAACAATGCCATTTAGTAGAAATAACTTATTAGTGCTAATACCCCTTTTTACATATAATTTTCTTCTCCTTTTACTTTTATAATATCTTTTTACTTACTATTTTGTACTTAAATAAACGTATATCTAATAACATTTTTTCCAACCACCCTTTTTCTTTTTATTATGTGATTACCTCTTCTAGCCGGTGGTCTCTTCAGCTCTCTTCCGAGCCAAAATATCTTGGTTTCAAGGTAAGCCTCTTCATGGAGTAAATTTGCCTTTCGTAGCTGAATATTTATAAAAACTGGGTTTACAAAATTCCCTTGTTATTTTTGTGGCATAACTTTCAATTTCAAAGGAATACTTTTTTGCAAGAAATTCATCTTACCGGGAAACGCAGGAAGCCTGTTGATAAACCTGTGCTAATTTTTCGTCTGTACTGTTCTGTTACACTACGAACTATCGAATAACATTTACTAAACCAAACCAGCCTGGCTACAATCCTAGTTTGTTAATACATAATTACATCTTATTATCTAATCAATAAAATATAAGAAAGTTGCTTTTTGGGGTGGGATAGGTAGATATATCACTAAACTCGTTTCTTGGTGCTTCCATCCTCTCAGCTTACTAAAAATACGTGACCTACTAGGGAGGCGGAAGCATATAAAGATGAATTGACATAATCTCTATTCCTGTCTTCTTTTCAGTAATTATCGAACGCTTTTTCTAAAGCATATTGTTACAAAGCATCGTGCTTATATGACAACGTCTGTGAAAAGGACCTGCCGATTAGTTCGGAAGAAATTATCATAACACAAACCAGTTTGCAAAACACATGAATAATAGACTGGTCTAAAACGCAACGTTTTTTTCTGCTTACATGGACTTCACACCGAATTGTAAGATTAGGGAGTCTATAAAAATTAATAAATTAGCCAACTTGAATAGGAACTATTAATGGCTGTTGGATGCGCTTAAGGTATGGGACTGAAAGAAAGTGAACAGAAAGGGCAACTGAATAAGAGGAGACAGGAATTGCTTCGAGACTAGTTAGAGATATCCCACCTCTCATGACGAGGACGTTGAATATACAAAATAGCCAATAATATATAAATAAATATATGCCAACATTATAGTATCATGTCCTAGTTTTTTATGTAGGAAAACAGCCATCACCACATTCACTTTTGTTTTTTAATTAACTCATTTGCAAGCATGTAGATAATGTTTGAGGTAGCCAACTAAATCATGGAATACTTCATTTAGATCGCGAGGCTAGGAGTATAAAAAGTAAAGTTGTTGCTAACCGCCTTCTCTCTTGGTTTAATATATTTTTTGCGCTACTTTGTAAAGTATGTGCTCTTGCTCTGATGATATCTGTCTCGACGGCTTAGACGAAAGTTTAGCACAGGTACGTCGGGGTTGCACGGCGGTGAGCCGAAGGCCTCTTCGCATAACCTAGCAGTGGCTTCGGCTTCCAGTGAGACCAATTAACGAATTCATTCCAATCAACTATTTCGTCGGAACGGAAAATCTTATCACATTATATATTCTGAGATTGGCTTATTTCCTAGTAAATTTCGAAAAAATTTCGCTTTGCACCTTTTTTCTTATCTTGTGTAGTGACATTTAACCACTTATGTTTACGGATAATATTTTATCTAATTGCTGAATTGTTTGCTCTGATAGTAATTTTTAATCAATTCTTATTGTAAGTAATTATAAGCGCTTTTATTTCAAGACTAATTAAAAGATTTAAGCTGAGAATCAGATCTTGTGCATGTTTGTGACTTTCTTGACATTTAGAAGGCATTTTCGTCTCTTAGTCATTTGTCTTTTAGAAGTCAAATAGTTTCCGCTAGCGTTTTTGATTGAAATTATTTGTTTGAGATTGTGTGATAGGTGTTATCCATTATTGGATATATCAGAAACTAAGGCGGAATTGTTTATTCGTTGACTTGAATCTCGCTTCGTCGTCTTTCACCTATCGAATCATTACTTACAATTCATTTATTATTTTCTTAACTATTCAGAGTATGTCTGAATTGTACGGAGTCCATGGTATGCAATGGTCAAGTGAAATATCTAAAATAGATAAATAAGTGATGAATCCTACGAAGTAAGACAGAGACTATGATAGGACCTATGGGAAGAGAATTCTAGACTAATAAGGCAAACTCAGATCAACATTTCCGGCATTATAGGGGAGCGAGTAAGCTAATGAGGAGTTTTACTAGATCTTACGAAATCCGCTCATAAGGATACACCAGAACCAGATTAAAATAAGCAGGTAAGAAATTATGATAATGAAGGGATGACACGAGGATAGGTGATACCCAAGACAGAAGGAGATAATTGGTCAATCGATTCATTTCACTTGTCTCTGACGAGCTGTAGTTTGCGTACAAAGTGCGTTACTCTAAGCCTTCCTGCTAATATGACCAAGTTGCAAAAACAAGGTAAAACAACTTCTAATCAACAGAAGGAATCAGCGATTATACTATGAACACACCATCTTGGTCTTTCTATCTCCCATATTCATAATAGTTTATCATTTATTTACAAATCCTCATTTCCTTATTTTGATAATAACAATTGATTGTATGCTCTTATTATGCATTGGATTAAGATATCCATAGACTGCTTGTAACGATTAACATTCCTTTGGCAATTTATACTCTTGGAAATTTCCTGAGATCGATATAAGAGGAAAAAGCTTAGAGAATATGGGGTTAAGTTGCGTTTTGATCAGGTATACATAGCTCATCTTTGCACAATAGATTAAGTCTTTAGTTGTGCAATTGATAAAGCTGAATGAGCAGCTAGAAAGCGGAGAAAAGAGAGTTTGGAACAGAACAAGCAACGCTGCTTGCTGGTGGGGTGTAGCCAACTTGGGAGAGATTCCGATAAAATTGTTGTTGTGTAGGCCTGTCACAAGGATGATGGGCCGATAGAAAAATTTTGGAGTCAGGTCTTCTTGCGTAAACATCTATTTAGTTTGAATATCGCCTTTTGATTAATTATGTAAATTTAAGGGAGTGGTGGATCATGTATTCACAATTAGTCTTCATGCGATATGATTATTGGAGATAGCTGCCAATTTTCTGCAAAGATACTAACTATTGTGCTTAATATGAAGCAAACGTTAGCATGATATTACTTGAAGTTGTCTCCCTTTATTATTGTCCTTATTTTATTCTAATGCATTTTACATCTCATCTGAAATTTTACTTTATTTAGTTATTTTTAGTTTTACACAACTTCCAGAGGATTTTCTTTTACTATGCTTGCCGAACCTTATCTAGATTTATTTCTGATACAAAATTGTCCCAGTTTTAGCCTGTATCTACTTGTTTTTTCTTTTTTATATACGTGTAATTAACTGGTATATCTTCATATCTTCATGTATTTTTATTTCCTTTTTTGAACTGCTCTCCATTTGGAATGTTGATTGCCTCATATTTCGAATCCAGTTCTACCACTGGTGCGTTCAGCAAATCGCCCTCTAATTTTATAGCCAGCCCACCTACATTCCCTGATGCTGCCACAGGAGGGACGGGCCTTTTTAGTGGCCTGTCACTTTCAAGCCCTGGAATTCCAAATTCTTCCTCTGCCAGCTCAGGTACTACAGGAAAGCCTGGTCTCTTTTCTTCCAGCATTATCGGTGTTGCACTTTCATCCCCTTTGCTTGGGCAGCCAAATGCCGCTCCCACTATTTCCACTAGTGGTACTACTGGCGGTGGAGGTCTCTTTGCTAATTTGGCTACACAGACTTCTGTTAATTCTGGTCTTTTTTCTTCGCTTGGATCTTCTGGCTCTATTGGTGGGCTTTTCTCATCTGCTTTGCCTACATTTTCGACTACCGCAACTCCAGGGGGCTTTGGTGCACCACCTGCTTTTGGATCCCCGCCTCTTTTTAATGCTTCTGGATTAGGAAATCCGGCCTCTTCCCCAACTACTGGTACTGGCGGGAGTATTTTCTGCTCAAATATTGGTACCGGTGCTCTTAGCCAGCCAGTTTCTGGAGCTTTTGGAGGTATAGGAAGTGGGACACTCTTCAGTGCTTCTTTGCCTGCCACCTCTTCCAGTTGCACCTTTGCTGGCTCTCCGCCCTCGTCAGGCACGGCGAATAATCTCTTTGCTTCGTGAGTTTTATATGTTACCTAGCGTCCATACTTCATTGGTAAAAATAAATAAATTGGCTAGATTATATAAGAGGCTTTCTCTAGTTCGCAGAACTATTTAACATTTTCATATATTCACTCATAATTGTGAAATTTAATTTATGAAATCTTTCTTAAATTTTTTATAGACTCGCTGCGAATTCTTCGGGGCCCTCGTTCGGCAACTTGGCCCAATTGGCTCAATCTGCTCATTTCACTCCTACTTTCGGTAAGCAATTTTGATTCTCTTTTAATGCATATTGTGAAAAATCTTATCACATTTTTTGCTCCATTTTGGCTTTACTTTTTATCATACCAAGTTGGCTATCGTACGTATGAAGACCAAGATGGTGTAGCCTTTTGTATAGTTACGGTGAGCCTGTTCAAATCAAGTCTGAACCAATGCATTTCAGGGTCGGCGTGCAAGAGACTTGGGCATGAGAAAGTCATAGACTTGGAATTAGTGATAAGAAAGCGAGAAATACGGTGGAGACTATTAGTGGATAAGTTTGATCATAGACTTGGCTCATGAAGTAGTCTTGAGCACAAGATTTTTAGGTTCACATGCGGCACAATGATAAAGGAATCTGCTGCGTCAAGTTAGATTGCCATGCCAATTCGGAATCCCAACTTTAGGGGCTTGTTTAATGATATGTTTAGTATATGTGCTTTTAAAGGCAGATTGTAGAACATAACGCCTTGAGTACCATGGGTACGGTGGCAACGATGGCGTGAAATCACTTAAGCAGGCAGATAAGGGAAGGATTCTATGGAGCAAGATTTGCTCTCTTATATTACCCGAAGGGAGGGGATTGCAGATTAAGCCTCAGCCTTAATTCAACGCTCCTGGCACAGTATGGGGGATCTTGGGATCCAGCAGGGAGTGTGAATATGTTTAGATAAATATATTAGAAATTGTGATATTGAAGGAGTGATAATAGGATATAGAATATATGAATAGTACAGGACAGAAAGAGAGATACCACAACTATTTAGCTTTCAATTGACCAAAGTATTGATTTCATTTGTCTGTAATGAATTTTTGTGTGATGCTTAGAGTGGCAAGACGCATAGGCAATGCCGGCGAAACGTCTGTGATGTTTTAAGACTAAATAATTACCAAGATCATTTAAAGGGATTTAAGGAAAATTAGTTTAATTATTTCCACTAAATTTAACTTAGACTTCCCTCCCAATACACTATCTCATACCGGTTACAATGCACCAAATATGCTGGATTGCGGTTTCGTTATGTCCTTATCTTTTCAACAGCACCCTTACTAGCATATTTATTATCATGCTAGGGGTTGTCCCAGGTGAGGTCCGAACTAGTGTCTAACCTTGAAGAAATAATCTTTTG